GGGGAAGGGGGCTGTTTCTCTGCCTCATGCGGGGGTGCAGGATAGGGGCAGGGTGCCAGCCTTGGCAGACCAACCCCTTCCAATGCACGGAGCTGGGGAGCGAGGCCACCGACCGGCTTTGTGAGGTAGGACCTGGCTGCTTCTACCCCCGAGACCCAGGCCCCAAGCACCCGGGTTGCAGGAGAATCCCTTCTGCGCAGTCTGGTGATGGGCTCTCTCCTCTTGCCCACCCCGCCAGTACCGCTGCTCCTCGCTGGCCGACGTGGTGAATTACTTTGTCTTGAACACCAAGAACACGCTGGTGCCCCTGTGCCTGGACCAGGATTACTGCAAGGAGTTAGGTGGGTTTGCACAAGTGTGTGCCCCCCCGGCCCTGCCCACGCGTTGTGTGGCTCAAGGGCAGTGCCATGCACGTTGTGAGGTGCTGAGCTACGCCCCCAGCCCCTCTCCCCCTGCTCTCAGACCTAGAACAGGGCAAAACCTTGCCACTTTGGGACCAGGCTCTCTGTGATTTGGGGAGAAACTGCCTGATCCTTCCTGGAAAAACAGTGAAGGTTTAGCTCCTTTCCTCTGTTTGGAAATCAGCCCAGATCTCGAGGGAGAGGCCTGGCTATGCTGCGCGCTGGGCCCCTGTCCTGGGGGCAGGGGCTGGTCCAGATGCTTGTCCTGCTGTCCAGCATGGTGCCCTCATCTCAGCCCTCCTGTCTCTCTTGTCTGCTCTGCAGAGTTCGTGGACACCGACAAGGAGAATGGGGAGAGTGTCCGGACAGCACCTCTGCCCCGCATCCCGCATCGCGCCCCTGCACCAGCTCCTAAAGGTGACCGCAACACCCGCACTCACGTGCAGCTCAAGGCCTCGGTGCCCCCTGGGCATGGAGCTGTACAGGCCATTTGGCCCTCTTCCCTCCTACACTGGTCTGGCTGCTGCTGCCAGCTGGGAAGCCAGTGCTGCAAGCTTCTCTGCAGCAGTGCCCCACTGGCTGTCGGAACTATTGGCGGGTGCATTTTTGTCCTCTCTGCTTGTTGCACACTCTGTCACACCTGGCATGAGCTGTGCTGGGTCTAGCCCGCCTCGGCACATGTGCTTCCTGCACGCCACTTGCACTCTCCAAACACCTGTGCACTGGGGCTGAGCCTGATCGCTCCAGCCGGCCACGCAGCAGGTCCCCCTCCCTATTACATGTTGTATTCCCCTAAATGGTGCTAACTTTGTGCCCTCCCTGCTCCCCAGCAGGTGCGAAAGGGGGCACAGTGATGCCCCCCCAGTTCAAGAACCCTGTGGCAAAGCCTCTACCCCCTGTCCCAGCCCCAGACTCTGTGTACGAAGATCAATATGAAGACCAGACCTACGTGAATGACGAAGGTTAGATGGGATCTCAGCCCTCGGCGTAGTGAGGTGCTGTCCTGGGGGTGTCTCAGGGCTGTGCTGGGGGTGTCTCTCTCAACCCCCGTGAGCTACCAGGGCAAGCGATTTGTTCCTGAATGGGGCATAAGCCGGGGGGATGGGGCCACGTACCAGCGTGTGGGGAAGGGGGAGGAGGTTGGGGCTAGTGTCGGTTCTGTTCGCCCCCCTCCCCCAGCTCACACTATTGTCTTCTCCAGAAGTGGCCGAGATCAAGCAGATGAAGGCATCAAGGGGTGAGTGAGCCAGACATCCTGCCTGGCTGTGCATGGGGGGGTGCCAACCACGTGGGCATGCTCACAGCTGTGCCTTCCCCACTGCCACATCACACCCCCAGCCCAGGGCTCAGCCTGCCACAGGCCCAGGGCTGCCCTTGGCGCTGGCTTCAGAGGCAAGGTTGCACCCGAGCACCCTTTCGGTGAAGGTGGAGCCTGGCATTGCAGCCGCTGGATGGGGGCTGGAGAAGGCCCCTGGGCCTATGCAAGCGTCCTCCAGGAGCTGCCCCCAACCGGACAGAGCTCGGGGTGGGAGAAGGGAAGCCCCCTGGCCATGCCTTGGGGCAGGGGGATGCTGATGAGAGAAGAGAGGAGCATCCCCCTGGAGAGAGGGATCAGGGGGGCTGCCAGGCAGGGGGAAGGGAGAGCACAGGGGGCCTGGTGCCCCCCGACTCCTCCAGGCCACTGTGTCTGACCCCGGGGTGGTTGGTCCCAGGTTGTGCTTGACCCCTCTGCCCGGGGCGCTGGGGATGGCAGTGGGGGGCACTGAGCAGTGCTGCTGCAGCCAGTCTCCCCCCTTTGTTCCTGCAGATGGGACACAAAGGCAGGCAGGCACCATAAGGGTGATCTGGGAAGGGGGCAGCTCAGACAAAGACCCCCCTGCCCAGTCCAGCAGCCTCCCCAGGCCAGGTACAGCTCCCCCCACAATGGGTTGGGGACCTGCCTCACACCCTCCCCAGGCTCTCCCACCCTTCCCCCATCCCAGCTCCAGCCTGGGGCCCCTTTCCTGATCCATAGCCTCCTTCCTCTGCTCCCTCCAGACCCAGGACCAAGCCAGCTGAGGGGCAGGTCGAGGAACAGCACACCTAGAGCTGGCTGCAGCTGGGAGCTTCTGGAGGGAGGGATGGGCGGGAGCTGAGGACAAGGGGGAGCCATGCTGGATCCCCCGTGGTGAGGACCCTGGCATCCCAGACCCCTGTGAGACCGTAGGGGGAAACTGAGGCACGGAGCAGGGAAGTGGCTCTTGCAGCAGGTGGGTGTGCCTCTCTGACCCCTGCCCTCTCCCTTCCCAGACAGCAGAAGGTGCTGGGCACCACTGCCCAGCAAGCCCAGCGTCGCTCCCAGACCGTGGAAGGACGGCGGCAGCTTCCCCCACCCGGGTGCAGTGCCCATTGGCCCCTCTGCAGGTGAGAGCCTCTGGGCTGAGGGGGACCTGTCTGGGGCCAGCAGCTGTCCTAGGGCTTGCAGCCCGGCCAATACCTGGGGGCCAGGACACCTGGGTTCTTATCTCTTTTCTCTGGAGGGGAGCAGGGAGCAGGCTGGAGCAGGGGGCTGAGGCAGGGGGGGCGGAAGCTGAGGCTGGTACCCAGGGAAGGGCACAGACACCCAGACGCCTGGGTTCTGCACCCAGTCCTGCAGCACCTCCTCTCTTGCAGGCATGTCGGAGGAGCTGAGACAGAAGCTGCAGAAGCGACGTGCCATCCTCCCTGACTGAGCAGCTACAATGACTTCTGGTGCCGGCCCGACCCGCCACACCCCCCAGGCCCCTTGCCCCTCCTCCCTGGCTGCCCCTGCCCCTTGTTGGGATGCTTCAAGGGCAAAGCTGCCACGTCTGCTGCTTCATGCATCACAGTTAAGACCTAGGCCTGGTCTGCTCTATGTGGGGTCTGGCACCCCTCCCTTGAATTCTGTGTGTGTGTGTGTGTGTGTGTGTGTGTGTGTGTGTGTGTGTGTCAGGGCCAGCAGGTGCCAGGGGAGGGCAAATACTTCATAGGGGGTCCTTCTCTCTCCCCCTGCCAACCCATCCTTGCTGGGCTCCGACTGGCCCCAGCCCTGGGTGCGGGTGTCCCTGGCTGGGGTTACCCCCATTCCGCTTCTCAGCAGCCAGGGCAGGGGTGGAGGCAGGACAGAGGCTGGGCTGGGGATCATTTGCCTGGGCCCAGCTCTTTGCATGTTGGGTTTCAGCCCATTACAGAGCTGTCGCTGCCCCGTTTGCATAACCTTGGAGAACAAGGGCAGCACTGTTGTGTGAATGCAGGAGGTGACAGGGGTGGGAGGGGCATGGGGTAGGGCAGCAGATGGATGGGGAGGAGGGGGAACCCCTGACCCTGGGAGCAGAAAGTCTTTAGATGGTGTGAGACCCCAGGAGGGTTGGGGGAGTCCAGGACTGGGGCTGCACACCAGGAGCAAAGGGACCACAGGCTCCTGCCGGCCAGGATTTGGCTGCCTGGATTTTGAGCGCTCAGGGAGGAGCAGGGATACTGCAGCTGGACCCCAGCCTCCTGCCTGGTCCCCGCATTGCCCTTGATGGGCCCAGCTGCTGCCAGAGCAAGGAAAGCAGTGAGTGACACCAGCTGAGGGTCAGGCCTGTGATGCCCAGGGCCAGCTGGGCACCTACCCTGGGGCTGGGGCTCACTGGGACCAGCCCCTTCGCACGCATTGCTAATAAATGCACCGTTTGGCCCCTCTGCCTGGAATCACTGCTGGCCCTGACCGCTCACGGCTGGGCCAGGGGCTGGATGGGCAGAGCAGGGGCGCACCAGGGCGTGGGGCAGGGACTGGGTACCCGGATCTCACCTCTTAAAAGAGCTTTTCTTAGAAGAGCTGGGGATGTGGGGGCTCAGGGAGATGTACTGCGGGGGGAGCTGATTGATTTATTTTTGGCAGGGGTTGAGAACAGCCGCGTGTCCCAGCAGGACAATGCACATCAGGCCCTTTGTGCTCCGCAGAGGTGCCTGAGGGTTTGGGGCTGGCCTGTTCCCCCTTCCCACTCCTCCTGACTTGGGGGGTCCTTGCACCCCTCTGGAGGGAGAACAGGAGGACACACAGGTGTTGTACACCGGTGTAAACTAACCAAAAGCAGGAGCAGCTGATGGCAGCTATTACTACATCTTGCCCTGAGGTGGCTGGGACAATGAGCTAGGAGCTTGGTGCAGGCAGAGGCCACCTGCATGGGGGGAGTTGTCCCGCACTTCATTCTGCACTGGCTGAGAAGATGCACTTGGGGTCTGATGTGCAGGCTCCCGAGTCCCAGACCTCAACCAGAGCGCGAGTGCCACGGGCTTGTGTTGTCCATGGCAGCTCCTGACCTCTGCAAAAGGAACTGGCCCCCACTTGCCCTCCACGGCGCCAGCTATGAAAACTGCTGCCTGGCAGCCATGCCCTGCCCAGGGGCAGAGGTGAGGTACTGGGTCAGCCTGGACCCCCTCACTCACCGACACACCTCTCCACAAGCCTGGCTCAGAGACTGTCCAGCCCCAAGCCAGGCCTTTGCCCTCCAAGGAGTGTGGCTGTTAATTCATAGGAGCTAATTGTTGCTTAATGGACCGGTGGTGCACAGAGTTGTGGCCCCTCCAGCCATGCGGTGTGGCACCCCAGCGGGTTAGCCTCTAGGGGGAAGCGACTGCACCATGGCATGGTGCTGATGGGCAGGAGAGGGCTTGGATCTTTTCAACAGAGGCTTTCTACCGAGTTACGGGAGAGGTTAGATGTCCAGCGGCCAGGTGTAGGGCTCCCCAACCCATCACTGGGCATAAGCAGACCCCAAGCGAAGACCAGAGAAGAGGCAGCCCCAGCCACGGGCAGCGAGGAGAAAGATACTTTAATGTCACTTCCAGCCGGGAGCAGCACGACACACGGACACCATTCCCTCCCCTGGCCCACGCAGGGGGAACAAGGCGCCTACACCTACAGCGATCATTAAGGCCAAAGCATCGTGTCACAAGAGAGGCTAAGGGGTCTAAGAGCAGCCGTGTGCCAGGGGGTCACCTTTAAGAGTCGGGTTGTATGACTGCCAGAAAAAAACTGCCCTGCCCATTGCATCCAGCGGCCCAGGCTCCCGCTCCCGGGTCACGGCAAGGCGGTTGGTCGATGGCCCGCTTTGGCACAAGGCTGGCTCACGTGGTCCCCTGCTCTTAAAGGCAAGTGTGGCAGAGGTGGGGGGTGGCAGGCTCTGGTGGGTCAGTCTGGATACATTCAGAGAGCTATAGGTGCCGCAGCCCTCTCCTGCCCCCGTGCTGGGGTGTTGCCCCCCCCCAGCGCCAGCCCCTTCCCGGGACAGGGAGAGGAGAAGTCATGGAGTGTCTTTCCCACCAGAGGCTGGTTCTGGGGGGGCAGTGGGAGAACCCAGGCAATGCCCCAGTCCCACCGTGACGCTGGTCCCAGTCCCACGGTGTCTAGGTCAGGCTGGCGTTGGAGCTGCTGGTGGTGCTGTTCCGCTTCTGGAGGCTTTTGACAGAGCTGGGCACCTGCAGCCCCGAGTACACGTGGAAGCTGCCGCACCAGACCTGTGGGGAGAGCGCAGGCATGGTGACGGCAGGGCCCCCAGTACCTGCCCCACCAGATGTGGGGCAGGGCAGGGGACTGGGCTGCAGCTGGGAAGTTTGGGCAGCGGCATCCCTTGCCCTCGTCCCTACACAGGCAAGGGTCTTGCTGCCATTCAACCATGTTACATGCTCCCCAAGTCCTGGAGGGGGAGGATTACCTCCCATGCTGCAGCTGGGGAAACTGAGGCACAGAGCCAGGCTATGGCAGGAAGGAGCAAAGGTAGGGTCTGAACCCAGATATCCAGTATCCCAGCTCCCTTCCCCCTGCTTGCCCTTGTCCCGTGCACCACAATGAGCTGAGCACCAAACTACCAGACTGTTGTGGGAGCTGTGCCCGCTCCAACACAAGTGGACCCCCTGGTGCTGCGACCTTCTCCACAGCAGTGCCCTGACAACCCCTGCCAGCCAGCTAGATGCACCCTAGAGAGTTGCAGGGATACCTTGGGCTCAGCTCCCCGCTGCAGCCAACTAAAGCAGCACAAGAGAAGGGGTTAGTGACAGACCCCGCCGCACCTCACACCAGCAAGGAGAGATGCTGGATTAACCGCTCAACTGCTGGAAGGGCTACTGAGCAAGCACAAACCTTGCAACTGCTTGATCCTACCAGCTTTGCTGCTGCCCCCCACAGCAGTAGGCACCAAGCCACTTCCCCTAGCATCTGAAGCCACAGCAGTTCCTCCCCCAACTCCCCATCCAGTGAGTAATGCCTTACCATGAAAGCAGGAAGCACGGGCTGGGTAAATTTGGCCTTGAACGTATGGAGCAGCTGCTTGGTTTTTGCGTTGTAGAAGGACAGGAAGCCTGCAGGCAGAGAGGGGAAGAGAGGGGCAGTGTGAGGGTGGCACGTCACTCACTCTCCACCACCTCAGAGCTGCACAGCGCAGAGGGGGATCTGCCAAGGTCACTGCTGCAGCCCAGTTTGAGGCTGAGTCAGTGTGAGCAGGAACGCTGGGGCTGGCTGGGCAGCATGGCCCGCCGGGGCTGTCCGTGTGCCCTGGGGGCTCATGCTGCTGCAGCTGCATGTGTCCATGCAAAGCCCTTGTGAGTGATCCCTGCACCAGGAGCACTTGTGCAAGCAGCCTCCTGCACTACTCTGTGCACTGTGGGTGTAGCTGAGCCCCCAGTCAGGACTAGCTCCCTCCCAGGCCAAAGGTGCCCTGCTGGAGCTGCCAGAAAGGCAGCCCAGGTGGCACCAGTCATGGAGACTGAGGTGCCCTTGACCCACGAGGGGGACCCCTATATGGGGAGGAAAGGGAGGAGTCTGCCCCAGCCCCACTGCAGAAGGGAAGAGGCTTTAGGGCCTGTCACATGAAAGCCACATTTACGTGTGTGTGCAAGCAGCACAGGAGGCAGCACACGCGCGCGCGCGCACACGCACACACACACACACACACACACACACACACACACAGAGCAAGACCTGGTTCCCTTCAGTTAGTGCACGCACACACACGGCAAGGTGCATTCCATCCAGCAAGGGGGAAGCAGGAACACACACACACACACACACACACAGAAGGATGGATTCCCTCCAGACACACGCATGCACACGAACGTGTGCACACGCACACATGCACACAGATAGAGCAGGGCTTGTTCCCTTCACTGCACACTAAAAGCAAGACACAGTCCCCTTCAGTAAGTGTCCACAGGCAGGTGCACACGCACACACACACACACACACACACAGAGCAAGGTGCACTCCACCCAGCGAGAGGAAAGCATGAACATGCACGTGAACATGTGCACACCCACACGTGTGTACACACACAGCAGGGCTTGTTCCCTTCCCCCCCACACACAACAGGACACATCCCCCTCAGCTGGGACACCCCCTCCCCTCCCACCCTGGCACCTTCGTGGAAGTTGCAGTAGACGCCGATGCAGTCGGGCACAGGCACATCCAGCACCTTGGCCTTGTTGTTGTGCTTGGCGGTGAAGCTGACCTGCAGCCAGTTGTTGAGGTGGAGGCACCAGGAGGCGGAGGTCTTGCCCAGCTGGTCGAACTTGCCCAGGCTGCGGTAGGCCACCCCCACGCCGAAGGCCTTGCTGTCCCGGTCGTACTTCACCTCCCAATAGTGGTCGGCCCCATCGATGAGGGTGTCACCTATGGGGCCACAGGTGGAGCGAGCAGGGTGTTCTCAGCCGGGGCCAGCAAGGGCCCCTCGCCCCCAGAACGGATGACCCCATAGCCGCCTGCTCCGTGAAGGTGCCACTGGCCCCACATCCCACCACAGAGACCTCCCCACCCCAGATGGGCTCCTACCCAGCACGGTGTAGGACTCAGCGGTGAAACGGTCCCTGCCCCCACGTGCCGAGGGCATCCTCTTTGGAGATTGCACGCACCTGTGGATGGGCAAACAAGCAGCTGAGCTCCTTCCTTGTCGCCCTGCTCAGCTCCCCGCTAACGGTCAGCCAAAACCCTCGGGTCCCCTCAAGGATCGGACCCAGACCCCAAGCCCCCATAGAGGGGGCAAACATCACGGCAGCTCCCGGCTGCCCCGAGGAAGGCTGCTTCCTGGGTTGGAGCCCCCGTGCAGCAAGGGGCCCGGGTGCTACCTGGCGGGGGAGTTGACAGGCGATGCGGTGCGGCCCTTGCTGTCCTTCTCGCGTGCCTTGATGTCCTGCACCTTGCCACCCATGGCATCCCACTCCACGCTCAGCTCCTCCACCCGCAGGTTCTGGTGGCAGGTGCCGGCGTCCAGGCGGAACATGAACGCTGGGGATGGAGCAGGAGTCAGACGCAGGTGGCCCCCCTCCGCCCCCATCCTGGGGAGACCCTGGCTCCCAGCTCCCCTCACCCCACTGCACCCCTCTGTCCCAGCACCTCCAACCACGTGGATGCCCCCTTAACAACTGCTCCCATCCCAGCTCATCCCCAGCCCAGGGAGGGGTCCTCTCCCAGCCCCCTAAGCCCCAAACCAGCCCCGCAGCCTCTCCCACCCTTCATCTCTGAGGATCCCGCTATGCTGCCATGAGAGCAGGACCCCATGCACAGAGCCCCTCAGCATCCCCCCGCATGGACCCTGCCAGGACCCACCTCGGGTTTCTAAGGTGACTGGCTCGGAGAACTCGCCTGCCACGGCCTTGTTACAGGCCTTCACGCGGAAATTCATGTACTTCATGTCAAACTTCAGCCCTGTGGAGGCACCCAGAGTCACGGGGGCTGCTGGGAGCTCCATGGTCCCCCCTGGTCAGCCCCTACAGCCAGTGCCTGGCCCACAGTGCCTCCGGCTGCAGGACCTGGGAACATCCCTGCCCCATGCCGCACAGCCCCCTCTGGGCACCCCCGGCCCCTCACCGGAGAGGGTGTACTCAGTCTGCTTGATGCCCTCAATGACCATCCAGGGCTGGTCTTCCTTGACACGGGGCGGGCCTTCAAAGTTGGTCTTGCGATACTCCAGCACATAGTGGTCGATCTTGCTGTCCTCATCCGGCATCTTCCACACCAGCGTCACGCAGTTGTCGGCCACCAGCGACTCGGCCATGTCAATCTCGGGGGCGCTGGGGACTGTGAGTGTGAAAACGAGGGGATGAAGTCATGGCCCTGTGCCCTGTCCCCTGCTTCCACCCCCAGCCATGGCCCATGTCCTTCCCAACCCCAGCCCCACCCTAGCCTGGCTATCAGGTACGCCTTCCAGCCAGCCCCAGCGAGATGCCCACTTACCTGGGAGGAATTTGAGGGCCTGCAGCATGCAACGCTCCTGGGCAAAGTCCACCATAAGGTGGCTCATGTTGTCGCTCACCTTGGCCTTGAGTGAGAGCCGGAAGGCAGGGGCCATCGTCACACTGGGGATAGGGGCGGGGGGACACGGGTCAGAAGGGTCCCTTTCTCACATGTGATCCCCAGCAAAGGGCTTCCCCACCTCCGGGGCATTCAGGGCCTGCCCCCCTCACAGGACCCACAGGGCTTGGCATCAGCTTCCAACAGCTAGACCCCTTCCCTCCCCTCCAGGCTCCTCCAGCCAGGGGCCGGGGCGGTGGGGACAGACACACCAGCCCACGCTGGGTTAGTAAGCAGTGCAGCACAGCACAGCACCCGGCAGCGAAGGCAGGATCGTACCTATCCTTGATCTGCTTGGCAGCCTTCGAAGCACAGAGGAGAGAGAAAGGAGGACAAAAAGACAGAGAGAAGGAGAGGGTCAGAAGGGGCTGGCTGAGCTGGGTGTGCCTGCACATTGCCGTAGCCTGTGCTGCTAGCGAGCCCCATCACAGGCAAACCTGCTCAGCCACACAACCCCAGTCCCTCCTGTAGGGTAGGCAAGGCCCCTGTGGGGAAACTGAGGCACAGAGGGGTGAAGTGCGATCCCTGTGTCAGCAGCAGAGGCAGGAAGAGAACCCAGGAGTCCTGACTCCCATCTCCATAGCCAGCCACAAAGCAACAGGCCCCATCCAGCAGCTAGATAACAATTAGTGATTCTCTCTCCTTCGAGCCCCACCCAGGCCTCCAGCCCGACCCGTTTCCAGCAGCCTCTAAGTTGGTGTCACCAGAGCTGCCATCCCCTCCGCACCCCAAGGCAGGGGTGTCTGATCCCTCGTGGTGTTAACCTGCAGGACTCCCTGGCACCAGACAGCACAGAGGCAAGCAGCTTAGTAAGAGCCAAGTGAGGTGTCCCCAGGAAAGTGCAGCCTCCACAGAAACAAGGCTGAGTCACCACCATGCTCCAGGGCAGCCAGGACAGGTCAGGAAGGAACCTGCTCCCTGGCATGTGCTAAGGCAGGGAAGGTGAAGTGTCAGTCTCCATCCACAGCACCTGCTGTGGGAGGCTGGAGCAGGGGGTTGCTGTAGCAGCCTGGCAGGCATCCCTGGAGGCAAGGAGGAGAAGCCTGCAGCGCAGCTGCCCTCGGTGCCACCTCGGACAGCACAAACCTTGTGCACCCTTCGTGTTGTGCACCCTACGGAGCCACATCCAAGGGCAGATCCCCTCCATTTCTGCTCCACCTAAGCTTTAAAACCAACTGCCTGGCAGGGCAGCAGCATTTCTCTTCAGGCAGCGTGGAGGAAGTCCATCAACCTCCTGTCTCACTATAAGAGACCTGATTCCTACTAATCTCAGCTGCCAATATGACCCTCTCTCCTTTTAACAGTCCTGATTCATCAACTATCCTTGCTGTTGCAGGGCCCGTGTCTTGTTAGCCATTCCCAGTAGCATCTCTCTCCTGCTTCACAGCCCTAAAGGCTGCTTTTAGCTCTAGCTAAAAAGCTTAACTCAGGAGTGGTAACCTGTGCTCAGGTGAACACTAGCTCAAGCATGGAGCTGGCTGCCAGGGAAGCGTTGGGTGCACTGTCAAGATGCTGAAGGTGAGACTGTTTCACAGATCTGAATGAGAAATGTGCAGTGAACTCTAAAGAGCATAACGATAAAAAAAACAGGATCTTTCACTACTTTGTTGTGATTTTAAAACTTAATGTAGCAGTAGGTAACCATCAGCCCTTCTGGATCATGGTACATGTGGGAGAGGTCACCCAGACCTTCAATGCATACACCTAGGCAGGAGTATGGAGGAGCGGAGGCTGCCCAGACTTTCCGTCGCCCCTTAGACCATCGAGACAGAAACCAAAGGCCAGACGGAGTTTGGATGTTCGGTGCCTCGATGGCTGTAGTTACATGCGCATCCCAGAATCAAACCCAGGTTACCCGCATGGCAGGGGCAGATCCTACCACTGACCTGCAACAGCAGGAAACTCAACATATCATCTAGCAAAGGAGCAGCCATCCCAATGAGGTCATATTCATTTTTGCTTTGATTTTAAATGGAATAATATAGCCCTAGGGCCCGGCACATTAGTAAAGCTTCTCCTTTCTTTTTTACGTGGCGAAAAACGTGCGCTGTTATATGGGGCATTTCTTCACACCATCTGCACCCCTTTTTCGACATCTTAGCTCTGCCCACAGCAGTGCTGCATTGGTACGCACACGCTGGGGGTCCCCTAATGAGCCCCTGGACGTGGAATCTGTCCCTGTCTAGACCCGCAGCCCAAATGCATTGGCTTGTGGCTGGGGAATGGAGGCTCAAATGCTGCGCAGAGCCTCCAAAGATGGGATAGGAGATGTGGGCAGGGGCTGCCCTCTCCAGCTCCCTCACACAATGGTCAGGAAGGGACCACGTCTCCTCCTGTGCCCCGCTCCCAGCAGCATAGCTCCCCCCATCTCCTCCCACCCGCAGCAGGGCAGGCGCACCTGATGGAAGTCGTGGTTCTCGGCGCCCTGCAGCGTCTGGTTGGCCGTCTCCAGCAGCTCCTCGGAGCTCTCCAGCGCCTTGGTGCAGGCGGCCAGCTGGTTCTGGGGGACAGAGATAGTGAGGAGCCCGAGCGACGGGGTCTGGGGGGCCGGGGCTGGGGCAGGGGTCTCACCTGCAGCTCGTAGGTGCGGCTGGGCCGGGCCTGCTTGATCTTCATGAGCATGTTCTCCTTGAGCTCATCCAGCAGGGAGTAGAGAGTCTGGAACTCGCCCTCCAGGTCCTCCTGCACCTTGACGGAGTTGGCCTGGCCGAGGTAGACAAGGGCAGTTGTGAGGGCGCGACTGGGGCACCGCTGGCAGGGAACTCCACCCCCGAGGGAAAAAAACCTGTGGGTCAGGGCCGAGGTTGCCCTCATGCCAACACTGAGGGGAGTGCAGAGCAAGGTAGATGGCCGCACTGTGGGGCCGGACTGGCAGAAGAGGGGGTAGTCACAGTGCTGGGGGTGGGCAGCACCGTCCCGCAAGGGGAGGCAGTGGGGGCTTCTGTGCCAGTGCCGAGGGGCAAGTAGAGCAATCAGGCCCATGCCCCAGGCCAGGGCAGGGGGACGCCAGGGCAGCAGGGCCGCGCTACCTCCACATTCTGCAGCATCTGCTTGAGGGCGTAGATGAAGTTTTGGATCTCCTCGTTCTTCACGGCCAGTGTGGTGATGATCTTCCTCAGCGCCTCCTGCCCCAAGCACCCATGCCATCAGTGCCTGCCCAGCCCTGCCAGGCCCAGCCCAACCCCGAGACCTCCACACACAGCCTTGAATGCCCCACTTGCCTGGCGCCTATGTGCTCCTTCAGTGCCTCTGTCCAGCCCCCCCAACCCGGCCTGTCCCAGTTTCCTAGGGAAACCGAGGCATGGAGCGGCAAAGGGATTCACCCAAGGTCACAAAGTGAGTCGGTGCAGAGCCAGGGATGGAACCCAGGAGACCCGACTCCTCGTCCTCCCTCCCTCCTTAGGCCTTAAGATGCCCCATTTCACTCCCTCTTCCCTGCTCCCCATGCTGCTCCTTCTCTCTGCCCTGAGTCCCATGCCCATGTCATGGGCCCGGCCTTCCTGGGTAGGGAGGGGGTGACAAGGGCCCGTGAGCCAATGCTGACAGCCCCAGAGGTGGAAGCTGCTGCATAAATACCAAGCCTTAGTGTTGTCCTATAGCCTGGCAAACGTGTCCATCTCCCCAGGTCGCAGGCAGGGGAGCTAATGGGCACCGGGCACTGGCTGACACTCTGACCTATTGTCACCTTTGGTCCTGGCTGATGCTCTGGAGACCCAGGAGATGTTCTCATCCCTGCACTGGCCCTGTGGGGCAGATCCGGATCAGTCTCTTTCCTCCCTCTCTGCCTCGGTTTCCCCATTTTGCCAGCCGTGTCCAGCTAGCCTCTCTGTCCCTGGCACACCAGACCCTGAGCTGCCTAGCCTTTATATTACAGCAGTGCAAACACAGAGAGCAGCTCCAGCCAGGCTGAGGCCACACAGAGCTCACGGCAGGATCGGGGCCGAGTCCTGCCACCAGCGCTGCATTGGCTGAAAACCTACCCCCGGCCACAGACACAACGCCGCTCGTCAGGGGTCTGCATCACCGACGAAGAACAACCGCTCAAATCCCCGCTGCTGCCCACAGCGCTGAGTCACTCCCCACCAATGGGGGCAGGGGCACAGGTGGGGAAACTGAGGCACGTGGCAGGGCCCTACCACCCCGAGGTCACAAGGCTCCTGACCCTGGATCCTTGCTCCCTGCCCCCAAACCCATCCACCCGCCTCCAGTGCCGGCATCCAGCTCCAAGGCCCTCGCAAAGCCAGGGAGCGAACGCAGGAGTCCGGTTTCAGCGCTGCGAGATGCTCCGAGCCCCTCGGCAGCGGTGGCCTTCGGGTCATTGGGGTCCTGGGCAAGAGAGTCCTTTGGGGCCCCTCGGAGGCTTCATTTTGGTGACCGATAAGCAAGTCGGACATCTGCGACTTCAAGCAGCAAGGTGTATGCAACTCAGGTAAATATTAACCCACCACCATTGCATCGTGGATCTTTTTAATGATCTTTGGGGGGGGGATTAGAGAAACAGCCCAGTGTTAAAATGCAAATAAAGCCACTTCCTTGCAAAAACTTCACTCCCCCTCCCCCCACAAAGAAAACTGTTGCAAAATTTTGGGGGGGGGACCCTAAAGTGTGGGGCTGTTTGCCCTGCCCTAGGGCTGCTCCTGCCCCCGCGGACCCCACCCTGGGCCTGGGGCGGTGCGGCCACATCAGGTCCGCGCTGCCCCGCCTTTGTTGTCGGCGGGGGGGCGGGGAGGGAGCCGGG